GTGTGCTAGCAACGCCGATAGAGACAGTAGAAAGAGGAGAAAGAAGAGAAAAAAAGAAAAAAGATAAAAAAGATAAAAAAGATAAAAATAAATATTTAAAAAAGACAAAAGGGAATCAACACGACACCCAGGAGGTGTACGTGGTGGTGGGTCTATGGTGTTTGTTTTTGTTTGTTTCTGTTTTCTTTGCAGCGAGCAGAGAAACAACAGAAACAAACAAAACTAAACAAAACAAAACAAAACAAATAAAACAAAAACAAAACAAATGCAGATAAATGAGACAATGACATACAAACAAAACAAGAAGAAGCAAACAAAACAACAAAACAAACAAAACAAAACAAATAAAACAAAAAAAAAACAGAAACAGATGAGGCAACGAGCAGCTTAGCTACCCATGAAATTCGCCTCCTTCTGTTCATGTTTCTTTTATTGTTATTTGTTTCTGTTTCTTGTTTATGTTTTTGTTTATTTTTGTTTGTTTATAGTTGTTTGTTTTCTCTGTATTGTTTGTTTGTGCGTCTGTTTGTTAGTGTTTGCTTCACCTGTAGTATATTTCTTTATTTCTCTGTTCTAGCATCAGTTTCTTTTTCTTCTCTCTTTTTCTTTTTTTCCTTTTTCCTTTCTTTCTCTCCCTCCTTTCTTTCTTTCTTTCTCCTTCCAACAAATAAACTTATTTACTTATCACCTACGGATGAATTTCCTTGTGTATTTTTATTTTATTTGTTTTCACATACAGAAGGTGCATCCGGCAGTGTAGGGTTTTGCCACTGATCGAACCTGCTGAGGTATTTGGGTCTGGGTAGGGGTTTAGTTGGAGGGTTTACGAGGGTTTTGGGGAAGGCGGGGGTGTATTTTCTCCTTAGAAAGCAGATGTTTCTGTTTTCTTCTTTGCTTCTTACGTGTTCCGTTCTGTAGCGCCACAGATCCTCGCGCAGCAGCTCTTCTCTCTCCTCAGGAAGAACATTACAGAGAAATATATCTCTAGAAACGTCGTGGGTATACTTCACGCGTCCATACACCAGAGAAACCAGAGAAGAGTCCTTTGTAACCCCTACATTCTCACCGGGATACATCTTCTGGTGTCGTTTTCTTCTCTTACTCTCGAAACCCCACGCTATATACCGCCGCTGCCTCACCAACAAACACCCAGGAGAAACAAACTCTGCTGAGAGACGACGCACACCCAGGTGAGCCTTCTGGCTCTGCCCGGTCGGGGACGCTCGGCTCCGTCGCCGGTACGCAGAAGACTTCACCATCTTGAACCGAACGCTCTGCCGCAGGAAACCACAGCTGTGCAGCACCGCGCAGCACCCGGATGCTGCTCCTAGGGCTCCTGCTGCTGCGCCTAGTGCTCCTCCTGCTGCTCTCGTCGTTGCTGCTGCTGCTGATGATGATGGTGATGGTCGTGGTGGTGGTGATGGGCATGGGGGGGGTGATGAGGATAGGGGCTCAGAAGAAATAGTAACCCTCAATGAAGAACGAGGAGGAGAGAGGGGAGAGAAACCCACGCCACACGCAGAATGCACAGAAACACGGGGGAGATCGAACCGTCCCTGATAAACAAATGAAAAAGAAGAAGAAGAAGAAGAAGAAGCAAATACCCGACCGAGAGGAGCAGAGAAACTTCTCGATGCAATACACCTCACGGAAGAAAAAGAAGAAAAAGAAAAACCACCACCACCAATGCCAGCGGCTCCTGCAGGGCGTCTCAGCACATCGACGCCGCCACAAGAATATCCAAGAGAAGAAGACCAGGACGGACTCCGTCCTACGCGGCGAAACACACAGAAACTCTTCTCCCCCGCCGAGGGGCGCATGCAAGCCCCGGCGCCGCCGGCATCAGCCCCAACGCCTGCACCACCCTCCTCTGCATGCTGGGAAGGGAGCCGAGACGGCACTGGGGTGCGGCGGAGGCCTCCAGATCCACAGGAAGCTCTCAGGCCCACCACCCAACTCCCTAGACGGTGGCCTGTCTGCATCAGAAGAGTAGGCGGCGGCTGCAGCAGCTGCAGCTTCCCTCGTACATCGGCAGTAGAGGAGCAGAAGGCAGGCGCATCGCGCCTGAGACAGAGAGCAGAACACCTACACCGCAAACTGCTCCAACATCATCATGAACAGGGGCACAGCAGCAGGAAACGCAGCCGCATGCAGCGAGCTGNCGCAAACTGCTCCAACATCATCATGAACAGGGGCACAGCAGCAGGAAACGCAGCCGCATGCAGCGAGCTGTAGAGAAGAACCAGGAGCAGAAGAGATGAGAAATACAGGGAATATTGAGACTCTATTCGCTAGGCATGTGCACGTACACCGCAAATGAAGGCAACGGCGTGAATTAAGAAGGAAACAAAACACCCAGCAGCTGCAGCAGCAACACAGAAGAGCCAGAGGGCCCTCTCAGCACAAGTCCTAGTAGGACCCTCTTACCAGTAGCAGTAGCAGCGCCGAGCCGCACAGGTGCACTGCTTCTGAGAGGCTGCCTGCGTTAGAAAATCAGCTGCCTTGCGACGAATTGTGCATCTTAATACAGAAAAATAAATAAATTAAATGTGTTTATTCAAAATATTTTCATGTAATCCAGGACAAGACGACGCAGCCGTACCCAACACGGAGAACGGCATCCTAGCAGTGTTGTACGAGGCGGCAGCGCCAGGTGGTTCCCTCACCTGAATCTGTAGAGAAAGCAAGTCTGTGTAGTATATACACTTGAATTAAAGGCCTAAAAATAATTAATACATTTAAATACACCGCCGAACCTAAAAAATGGCGGCAGTGAGACCCCCATTAACAGACATTGACCCCGAGTCAGAACTGTATCAGGATGCGGTGGCTCAGGGCACCATAGCCAAGGCCCGCTATGAAAAGGAAGAAGATATTTCCAAGCACATCAAAGACTTCTTCGACGCCAAATACTCCCCCAACTGGCACTGCGTCGTGGGAAGAGATTTTGCAAATTGTTCTTCTTGCGAACACAAAACAAATATCTTCTTTTATGTGGGGCAAATCGCCATTCTCCTGTACAAACTTGGGTAGCAGAGACGGAGAGGAACGGCAACACGTCTCTCCCGTTTAGGTCCATCCACCGCCTCTCTCCTTTCGTTTTTTCTCATTCCAGGGGGCCATGCATAAAGAGGGCTCGATGGCTCTTCAGACGCACAGACACCCAAAGGACTTTTCCGCTTGCGCTGGTGTCTGCCGCTCCCTGCGGCAGCTAGGACGGTGATCCCGAGATGAAACTCCGCCTAAAGTGTATTTTTTTCCTAACATTGCTTTTTATCTCAAGGAAAGTACCAGCAGAGTCCTTCGGAATCTTCCGCAACCACTCCTGCAGCGTGGCTGGCGGCGGCCAGGGCGTTCTGGCCAGCAGATCAGAAGTTGGCGGACGGGCGAATCTGTCNGCAGCGTGGCTGGCGGCGGCCAGGGCGTTCTGGCCAGCAGATCAGAAGTTGGCGGACGGGCGAATCTGTCATGCTCTCCACTTGCCCATGCACAGGGTGCAACGACGCTTCTAATGAAGAAGAAGGAGCGCCGGCACTTCGTGATCTTGGAATGCACGGAAGCACGGGCTGAGGGAAAGCCGCCGTCGAGGTACACAACAACAAAGAACCGCAGGAACACGCCCCAACCTCTCCAACTTCGTAAATACAACAAATTTCTAAAGCGCCACACGATCCACAAAGAAATTAAATAGTTAGCCGCGGACTTGAACAGTCATTTCGAATGGAATATGTACCCGCCAATGGCCGGAGCTTCATTGTTTTAAATCCGGGGCGACGATAATATGAACTGATTTTTCAGTTATCCGCGCGTAAAGCGTGGAACTAACCGGTCCTCGCTGGAAATTTAATTTTTTGAAAGCTGGGTCTGGAGCACTGCCCAGAAACTTGCACTTCTGCAGGTAGACTCAAGGGGGGGTTAGTGCGTGGGAAGAAGTAAAAGTTACTACAGTTCTTGTTAGTAGTCGTGCCGCCTAGATGGGTTCGTGAAATTTGGTTTTCGTGATCACTTGGTACGGATCTGCGTTNTTAGTAGTCGTGCCGCCTAGATGGGTTCGTGAAATTTGGTTTTCGTGATCACTTGGTACGGATCTGCGTTTGAATAGGCCAATGGGTAATTCCAGATCAAAATTTCAGCAGGATACCGTGGTTCTGCCGGAAGTGTTCACATGCTGGCCCGGATCACAGCTGCATGCATAGGTTTCATACATATATCGAACATGCGCATCTCAACAGAAAGGAGTGAGTATACACCAGTAGAAAGCTACACGGCTTCAGATCGGGTGCGGTGAACATCGCTGACTTGAAGCGTTACGTGAAGTCGGTGAGCGCGCGTGAATTGGCGCGTGGAGATATTCGTCATGTTTGGAATCCGACAGTTGAATGATATATTCTCCCAAACAAACGAACCGATGAATGTAACGAGGGGCTGAACATCTGAAAGCCGGTCGTTTCTGCAGAAACAAAAAAGTGAACAGAGTTCGGTAGGCGCCGGGCGTTGAGCTGTCTGTACATGTGCGAGGAGACGCGCGATGCACTGTTGGTTCAGGTGTCTGAGCTGTGTAATGAGCGCCAAATCCTCATTTTTCTCGTACTTTGTTGATTGGTTCTTTGATAGGCATCTCTGAAGCGGTGGAAAACCACTGACACCTGATTGTGGCGAACATGTTGCGCGTGCTGTGCTATGATGTATTCCCATAAGCCAGCTCGATTGTTTCCTTTGCCAGTTCAAAATCATGGATTGCAAAAACGTTCTGATGTCGGAAGGAATTGTGGAGCCGCTCTTTCAGCTTCTTGTGCACAAGGTCACAATTGCTAAATTTGACCTACTCAGGGATCTCGGTACGACCCCCTCTCCCCCCCTCACTCTCGCTACTGCTATGGGTAACTGTGAGAAACTCACCGCTACAATATTTTCTCAGCAAAGAAGAAGGCTCTACCCGATTGCCCGGAAGATTCGGAAGGTATAAGTGGCAGTTGAAGCGATGTCGATGATCAAAGTTTGCTAATGGATATAAACAGAGTTTTTTGAACATGGCACGGTGTTATTCCTGGGCTCCTTCGGTCAAGCAGCCGGGCTCGAGCTCCAGCTTTGGTAATTCAGATAACATTTTTTTTTCAGTTTATATCAGACCCATTTTTAAGAATATTTATAATACCAGGCTATGCCCGAACGGTAACCTGTGGCACTTTTTGAAGCATTTTTTTCAGTCACGAGAAAACGTTTCTCAGGAGATCGAGAGGACTGGGATGCACTTACCATAACCATATCAAATGAAGGTAGCTCAGTTTTAAATATGCTTCTCAAACAGCCCCAGTTCATAGAGCAAACCCAGGCACCGAAGGTAGTCGTGCATTTGCACTTGTGTGTAAAGCTAAAGACAGTCACAATGCCTGACAGATCTGCCTGATGTTACAAAGCTCACCCTACTCGATGCCCGGGACGAATTCAAAGAAATCTCATCTTGTGAAACCGTCGGGATATGCAGAGCGAAACGCGGCTATGTGCGCTTCTTCTTTAACTGGACAGATCACAACATCCTTCGAGTTAGTCCTGTCCTGGTCTCTAGGCCCTCTGGCAAGTGTCTCAATAGTTCTCAGGTAGGCAGCCGTCTGGTCCTCAAAGTGGAGATGCGTTTCCTCCGTCGGCTGATCCATATTGACTCGGAGCCGAATCGAGGAGCAACGCCTGGTTCGCTGCAATGCGATGTTTTCGAATACTTGTCAGGAAAGTAAGGAAATGCCACGAAGGGAAGCCCAATGCCGGTGCCATGGAGTTTCCTCAGATTCTTCAAGGAGGCAACTGGTACGGCCTACGCCCACTGACTCTTCCAACCCAGTCGATCCATCTGTGGTCAGACCGTGTAGTTGTTCAAGTTGGTTCACGAAGTATGTTGAGAGTTTATTCTACAAGCACTGCATTGCCGTATGTATACGCTCTCTCAAGGAATACTTTGCAGCAAAGCCCTTCTATCTTGTCGTTCACCAGTCTTCGAGAGGATGTTTTCTGGTATGTGGAATGAACTACCTGGAAGAATCCTTCGTTTATTCAAAGAACAGGAAGCTTCAAAGAGGCAAATTCGAGCTTCATCGCCCTAGAGGACATGGACGCAGACGTCGCCATCATGCTCATAGAATGGATTCAAGAAGA